ATAACCTGGCCCGTTTCACCCTCAGGTGGAAAGCTTCTAACCTAGAGGATGATTCAAGTTGTAAGACATTCAAGCATCTGGTGGGTGGCACGAGGGGCCATTTCCTTACCAACTCTTATCACTTGCCTCATGGTTCCAGCGGTCTCGCTTCTAAACCACGTAGGCTTTTCAGGGATTTCCTCCGAATAAAAACAGGCTCCAACGTTTTATTGTAATTTTAACAGCTAACACTGATAGAGCTCTTCATATATGTTAAATACTATTCTAAGAATTTTGCATATATTGTTTTGCTTAATGTTCAAAACAACCTAAAATGTAGACACTATTATCACTCCCATTGTATGGACAGAGAAACTGAGCTCTGTTCTAATCATTTTACCTGTAGCAGATGCTACATGTCAGACAGATCTGTGCAACCATGAACCTGAGGCTGGCAAGCAGGAACCATGCACCACCTGCCATCCACTTTGGTCACTTCTATTCCCAGAAACTGTGTGGCTGTGTCTGGCAGTGACAAAAAGACAGCCAAGTGTCTCCAGGGCAAGCAGCAACCAGTCAGTGGCGTAATTTGGGGTGTTGTTCTGGGCTAGGTGGCTTCCAAAATATTTTCTTGCCCTCCTAGAAAATCTATAAGCTCTTGGTGTTCTTTAGAAAATTTATTTCAAAGCAGAGTTGTATTCTGCTGTCGCAGCTGAGATCACTGGCTGATATAATATGTGAAGTGCCTGGTACGATAAATGTTAGTCTTCTCTTCTCTGCAGGCCTACATTCTGCATCAGGTCTTTAAGTATTGTTTCACATTTATGCCACTTATTAAGAACCACACATTTTGCTATGCCATTACATTAGATCCTGAGAGATCTCAAGGTGAGTTTTCTTAATAGAGAACAACGATGTGTCATCATGTGATTTTCAAACCTGAGGCTCTTACCAGAAAGCAAACAACACTCTTCTTTGTTTGATGTATCAAAGGATTAAGAGGAGTGGGGACTTTCAGGTCTTCACAGACCACAGCATCACACTCTTCCTGGGATCTATTTCCACCTCCCTCACCCATGAGCCACACCCAGGAAGGAGACCCATCCTCTCTCCAGCTGCCCAACTCACCCAATGTGGGGGGGGGGGTGAGGGCAGGAGGTCCTGTTGCCTTTGGCAATGTATTACTCACTTAATATGTCCCTCAATTCTTCTTCCAAGCCCCAAGACAACTATTTTTAAGAGAATGATTCTGCAAAGTCCTCTATTACACTTTTATTGTTTGTCGAATTCATTTTGTTTGTTACAAATATGTTGCAAACTAGAGATTCACAGAGTTTAATGCACCTGCCTCTTAGTTCCATGGTTTTCACTACCTTGTGCTACTTGCATTCTGATCAGAGAATAAGAATGGCAACATGTACCTATGTGAATCAAGTTCAAGAATAAACGCCCTGTCAGGGAGTAGTTCAGTGCTGCTGTGCTTTGTGTGTGTGAGGCCCAGCTAACCACTGCCTGTCAAGGCAGCACCTAGCTACCGTGTTCTTGATGGATTATTTAAAAAATATATTACAATGTGACTCTTAGCACTGTAAGGAAATTAATTGCTTCATTATTTTTTTAAAAAACTGAAGAATGTCTAGGCTAACACTGCATTTGTAAGATGACTTTTAAAGTTAGCACTGTAGGTGTACTTTAACATTTTACTTTATACAATTTTTATTTCTCATACATAAAAAGTATCCAGTGTATATAACTACTTGCCTTTTAAAAACTCACAAAAACAAAGTTCTGTGCAGCATGGAAGCTTCTTGAGAAACATCAGTTAGAGATTTAGGAATTATTTTAAAGAGGAATGGGACACCAAAAAGTTAGTTGATGCTGCTGCATTGTGTCCTTTGCATCAAGAGTGTGCAGACATGGTCTTAGCTTGTTTGAAACAAGAGCTAAGAAAAGCACAAAAGCTGCCAAGACAAAGCAAAAGAAACAATGTGTTTTGCCAAAATATTTGATGGCATTCTCTGCCAGCTATATAATAGAAATGGATACAAAACTAAACAGGTCGACACAAACTGTGACTCAGGGCTAAAGAAGGGCCCACTAAATGCCCTATATGCTGTGGATTGAGAGACACTGTCTTTGGAACAGAAGAGTATATACAGTCATGTGCCACCTGAGAGCATTTTGGTCAAGACGGACCACATATACGACAGTGGTTGGATTATAAGATTATAAGATCGTATTTTTACTGTACCTTTTCTACCTTAAGATATGTTTAGATACACAAATACCATTGTGCTACAGTTGCCTGCAGTATTCAGTACAGTAACATACTATACAGGTTGGTAGCCTGGAAGCAATAGGCTATGCCATATATCCTAGGTGTGTAGTAGGCTATACCGTCTAGGTTTGGGTAAATACACTCTATGATGTTCACACAATGATGAAATTGCCTAATGATGCATTTCTCAGAATGTATCCCCATCATTAAGTGATGTATGACTATATACATATATCCACACACACATATGCACTTACTTATGTGTATGTGTGTGTGTTTTCAGTATTCAACCCAAAATCTCAGTACTTTATTTGAAAGTGTCTTTCAAACCTTACAAGGTCAAGAACCATTACAACCAGGAAAATAGTGAGCCTTAGGAAGTTAGAAAAGGGGCATTAGGGCATAGGTCATTCCCACAGTCTTTGGGTAAGTATGATGGTGGGTGAAAGTTGGGATGGTAAGAAAATGTTGTAGAGCAAACAAGAACAGAGTGGGAAAAGGGGGGAGTAGCAGATTTATGAGTAAAACATGAGATTTATGAGTAATCAATAATCCAGACGAGAAGTCACTTAGAAGGAATATGGGGGGTGGGGTTCTATTTATATATGTAGGTCAAAAAGTCCTTAGGGCTAGAAATGGCTGCACAGTCAATGGAAAAGATACCCAAAGTTGGAACTACAGAGAGAAAGGAGGCAGGGATGGGGCATCATGGTAATGAAAACACACAAGGACCCCAGACCCAGACCCTTCTATGGCTCCGGAGGCCACTACAACATGGTGCAAAAACCTTGGGACCAGCCTGCCCTAAGGTCTCCACTGGCTCTGAACTTGAACCCTCAAATGAGTCTTCTTGGGGGAAGTCTCACAAACTGATTTCTAATATATCCATTTCAAGTTTAGAAGGGGATGTGAAGAACACATTTTTCCAGCTCAGGCAGCCACTTCAAGGGGTATCCTGGTGAACAAGGGCATTAGTGAATGCAGAAATCAGTGACAGAGCTTAAAAGAATCTTGAGGGGAAAACAACCAGGTCACCCAGTAGGTTTCAGGGACCTGTTTCTGAAGACATTCTGCAGACAGAGCTAACCGGGGCAAGTCTGCATCTCAGTTAGAACTGATCCCAAACACCCATCCTCATGTCCAGCCTAGACTAAAGTCCCACGAAGACATGCCTAAGTGAAGAAGGGGCTAGTGAAGAACCCTGGGACTGACTGCAGTGGTGATGGCTACAGAACTCCTAAAGGAAACCAGATCGTCAACCAGGGAAGGCAGAAAGGAACCAATGTTGGCCGAGTGCTTGCTTATATGCAAAGCTCTGTACTAGATTCAATTTTTCTTGTCTTCTTCAGTACTCACTACATTTTAATGGTGACAAATTTATGATCTTTATTTGAATGGAAAGATAGCTGAAGTTCGGAAAGGTTAGGCATTTTGTTCAAGATCACAGAGTGATGCAAAAATATGAATCCAGAAATGCCTGACTCTAACATTTATGCAATTTTCAACAAATTAAGCAAATTCCCTGAATAAGTCTCAAGTTAGTTTATTAATTCTTTATTCAACACATATGTTTTTTAAAAACTAGATAACCTCCGGGTGTTGAAAATGAAGCAACACATTCCAAAATAACAATGAAATTTTAAAGTATTTTAACTGAATGACAATGAAAAGAGACATATCAAAACTTAAGGGCTGCAGCTAAAGCAGGGCTCAGAGGAAAATTTATAGTACTGAAATGTACATATAAAAAAAGAAAACAGCCTAAAAAATCAACAATCTAAACTTTCATCTTGAGAAGTTAAGTAAATATACCCAAAGAAATTAGAAACAATTTCTATATTTCTATAATAATAATAAAGAGAAGAGCAAAAACCAATTAAACAGAAGGAAAAAAATCATCAACACTAAAGATTAGTTCTTCAAAAAAGTAATAAAATTGGCCAGGTGCAGTGGCTCCCGCCTGTAATCCTAGCATTGTGGGAGGACGAGGAGGGAGGATTGGTTGTGGTCAGGAGTTTGAGACCAGCCTGAGCAAGAGTGAGACCCCATCTCTACTGAAAATAGAAAAAATTAGCTGGGTGACTAAAGATAGAAAAAAATTAGCTGGGTGTAGTGGCATGTGCCCGTAGTCCCAGCTACTTGGAAGGCTGAGGCAGGAGGATTGCTCGAGCCCAGAGTTTGAGGTTGCTGTGAACTAGGCTGATGCCACAGCACTCTAGCCTAGGTGACAGCAAGACTCTGTCTCAAAGAAAAAATAAAAAGAAACAAAAAGTAATAAGATTGGTCAATCCCAAGCAGGAGTAATCTAAGGGAAAAAAGGAGAAAACATAAATTATCAATATCAGGAACGAATACATTTTAACTGCTATTACATACATAAGACACTATATAATGAGGAGAAAGAAGAGGAGGAGGAAAAAAACAGTGCATCCGTTTTGAAGCCATCCAAAAAAGTCACATTCCAGGTTACATTGTATTCAAGTTACTCCAACATGCATTTGTTGGTAGAGAACATAAGCTACTGTCAGGTTGGTATTATAGGCCTAAAGAGAGCACATATACTTTGGAGCTGGACAGAGCTCAGTTCAAATCCAGCCTCTACCTTGATACTAAATGTATGACATCTGGGCAAATTATATAACCCCTCTGAGCTTCCATTTTATCATATAAGAAATGGAAGACAATAATACCAACCTCACAGCACTATTGGAAAGGCTAGAGGTACAGCACCAAGTATCCTATGGAATACTTTTCCCCTACATGTCCCATGGCCATGGAGCTTGCAATGAAACTATCTGTATAGGAAGAGTACAAAAATATATCATAAGACTAAGTCATTCATTTGGAAATGTAATGTTTTCTGAAAAGCATGGGCATTTACGGTTTTTTTTAACTTGCCTATTCTAACAGGAGAGGGTTGGTATGGTCATTTTTCAATAGAAAGCATATTACCAGCATAAAAACAACATTAAAAATCACATGAAAATGAAATAATAGGAAATTTTCATTTTAATTTTATACAATAATTTTTTTTTCTTAAATCTTAGTAGATCACAATAAAAGCTATACTGCTAACATAAGTTATTTTAAGGCTATGGGGGAAAAGGATTCCATCTCTAATGCTGACAGTAAGACAGAGGACCCTCCCGAATCTTCGGCTCCCCACCAGTGAGTCTGCCGAGTCACACGTGTTGATGGATACACAAGGGGTCAAAAGGCTGAAACAACCGTGACAGTTGGCTCAGATTATAGAGCTGCAAGGCGAACGCTCAGGATTTGTCATATCCTTAATGAATGTGGCAGTCCTGTAACAAGACAGAAAAAAAAAAAAATACAGAGATGAAAAGGCCACATGATACACTTGTGGTTCAATTCACTAATGAAAGAAATGAAATTATGCACGGGACCACTTAGCATCCGCATAAACACTTCTCCTGTAGGGACGACACTGAGAAAGTTCTAGTCCAGGAGGGAAAGATGTGAAGTATGGCCCACTTTAGTTTCATTTTTCTTGTAAAACTATAGAAATAAATACTGAGAAGGGTTTTTGATGGCAATATGTGGAGATGAGAACCAATGTCTGGCTCTAACATGTCACAGCTATGTGCTATCAGTGTCAGCTGATGGTCACAACACAGCAGAAGCAGCAGCCAAGACCAGGCATCCCCAGAGCGTCTGCAGATAATTTGCTTTTCTCTCTTCAGAAGCTTCCTGAGGGAAGGTTGGACCAAAGGGCCAAAGGCAGCACAGGGGTCACAGACGCTCTGGGAGAAGGCTAGAGGCCTCAGCAAGAGGACCACCCTTCCTTTGCACAGAACAAGCCTTAGATAAGTATCTAACAGGTGGATGACTATTATTTTGATAAAAATGAGATAGCAAAGCAACAGGATCCAATGGAGTGGCTGGCACATGGGGGCGGGTGGCAGGGAGAGTGGTTCATTAAACTGCAGCTAAATCTGATCCTGCTAAATGTGAGTCAAGCAAGAGAGAAATCCTCAGAACCAGCTGCCAGCACCCCTGGGCTCTGAAAGGGAGAGATGTCAGATGACCCTTGTGAGGGGTCATCTCAGGCTGGCTCATCTCTAGCCAACTGTCATGACCAGTGGGTGCAGCAGCTCTAAGTACAGGGTCACGACGTGCTCACCAATATGGTAACCTGGGGACCCCCCATGATTATATATGTTCTAGGGTAAAAAAAGATCCTCTTCTTTAAGGAAATACTGCTATAAAAAAGGGAATCTTTGTAAGACTATTTAAGATTTTTGAAGCTACCATTGTTTTATATTAAATTGAGGAGAATATGAATATGTTTCTTAATGATAATTTCTAATTGGAGATTCAGTTTTGGAAAAGAAATAGCAATTATGCCATCAAGATCATATCTCTCCATATATATGGAAGCATTTGTATCCAATGTTCCAATAAAATGGACACACCTTGCATATGTTGGATAACATTTTGAAGTATAGAGACAAGACAGTATTTTGAAGTAACCGGGAGATTAAAGCACCCTTTAGTGGTTTTTTTTTTTACATGCCAATAGAGGGACTAACCTGCTAAGCATGCAGACCATTTGCTTTTTTTATGGTAATCCAAACAAGTATTGTTACCTTCTGTTCCTTCCACTGATTAAAATATATATTAGGAATTTTATCAGAACATTTTATCAGAACTATGAGTGAGTATATGAAAAAAAAAAAAAAAAGGAAAAGTCTTGAAGGATATACATGTTAATAGAATTTGTCTCTGAGTAGTGGGATTTATTGAGAGGGTAACGCTAGAATCATTAGGAAGCCTAAGCCACACAAATGTAATTACACTTCTGTTTGCTTATTAAATAATCACTCCAAAACAGCCAAACAGGAATTTGCTAAGACCAGAATGTATGTTTGGAATGGAGGGACTTAAACTAGAGTCTATGTCTATATTCATGACATTCACTTTGGACTCCCCTAGAGAAAAATAGCTGTCCTTCAAAATCATGCAGTTCTTAGATACATCATAGGGCCCTGTGAGTGCGGTGATTCAGAGAGTCATGCTGAATATGGTTGGAGAAGATAAACGGTGATTTCAAATTTGATCCCCCAAGTTTAAGGTCACATGATCTGTTGCTGTGAATGACAAGTGTTGGCTCACAAAGGACCTGCTTTTTCCCTGGGCCACTGTCTGTACAAGTCCAGATGGAAGCTACATCTGTATAATCTTTCCGGATGGAGAATGAATGAGCTCACCTGGAGCCTGGAGTAGACACAATTGAGGGTAGTTGATGGGATTTAATATAAACAACTTCTGACTATTAATGAGAAAAAGGTTAGTGTTTAATATGAGGGGAAAAGATAAAAGAGTGTTGCAGTTAAGAAGACCATCTTCATTCCCCAATCTTCTCCAAGGTTTCCAGTAGTCTATTTTCTCCACGCAAAATATCTTTGAATAACTCAGACTGGTCAGATGTCTACAAGGTTTCTTTCATGGTTGATTCTTCATTCTGTTTTCCCATCTAACTGCTGCAGAATGCTTATGTGATTTTTCTGGCAGTTTCCAGATAACAGCCAGCTGAGTGATAGGGAATTCAGGTCATTTGGGCAAGAATAGCCATTGGTGAGAGTCCCTTGTACCTATCCTCCTGACTTTGGTTGGTGGCAGAGAGTGGTGACATGAAGGAGGCAGAAGAAATATTCTAGGCATTTTAGCTTCTGCATTCTTTGAAAAGCTTTTTCTTCCTGCATCAGTCTTGGTCTAAGTTATCACACATGGGAGACTTCCCACAGATGCTTCTAGCAACAAGTCTCTACCTACATCATTGGCCACAACTACTTAAAAATGAGTGGGGGTTGGCGGTCTCAGTTTTGAAAATATAATTACAGGTGATGTAAAAATATATATATATACTGATTTTTAATTTTAAACTTTTCTCCAATAAACATGGATTACTAGTAAATTTTTTTTTAAAGATTTTATATTTTTTTTAATCTAAAAAAGATAAATCTTGATAGACTGCCATATGGCATCTTACCAAGTTCGGCATCTACACCCAGATTTAACGAAGGAAACTTCACATGCAAAACTGTGCCAACTAACAAGGATTGGACAACTGAGAGAAAGGTATTAGCAAAACACAATTCTGCCTCCCTGGAACCTTGCAGTCCCCTAAGCCCTTGGATTCAGCCACTCACACTGGGAAGCAGGAAAAATATATCCTCAAAGTCTGGGTCAGCTTCAGAGGCAAGTCCTGCTTGGGGTCAGCAGGGAAGAAACAGGAAGATGGGGGGAAGGTGGCCAAGTGAAAGCCACTGGCCAGGAAAACCCTCTGGGCTAGGCTGGTGAGTAAAGACAGAGATCACCACAGGGCACCATCTGAAATCACCATCAAGGCCCAGCAGAGATTCACTCAGCCGTCCTGGCTCAGAGGAGGCCAAGGAAGAAGGAAATACCTACAGATGGCAAGGCAGCCCTTTTTTCCCCAAGAAAATCAATTACCTGCATTATGCCGGCACCTAAATGCAATTTTCCTTTGGCTTGTAATCGATTTCAGCTTATTTATGGAGGAAGTCATGCATGGGTCACTGGGGAAGAAAGAAGAAAGTATTAAAATTGTAAGATCTCACAACATTTCTTGAGTCTCTTAGTTTCTTTTTTGTAGCAAACCCTGTGCAAGGCCCTATCATAAAGAGGGTGAGGCAGATGTCCAACCTCTAAGAGCTCCCAGGTGAGCAGAGGAGTTGCAGTGGGAAGCAGTTAGACACCCATTATGGAGATAAAATCAAGAAACTATTGGGATGGACTAAGGGTAGCAGAAGGCTCCATTCATTCCCTGACCCAGTTTGTTCCCAATGCATTCCTGTGATTGTGTCTTCTTTTGTGGATTGATTCATAAAACAACCCTTTCATACAAAGTAGTAAGACTTACCTGGGAACTCCTCCAACATCATGTATCACCCAGGCATGTAGTGCCTGAACCTTTTCTGGACGCAAATTATTGATTTCCACACTTCCAAAAGTGCTAAATTAGAAGAGACAAAGAACATTGTCAACCCCAAACTAAAGCATCCATATCCTCTGTTAAAAACCAGTAGGCAAGACACCACTGGTTAGAACCTACTCTTTGAAACTGACCCATGATTTGCATTAGAAACAGTCACTTTTTCCCATTCAATGTGACCCTCAATTACCAGATTCTCAAAATAAGATTCTTAATTTGTACATTGATATTGATTCATTAAATACTTGCCATTAAAAGAGTAGTCCTTAGACCAGCATAATGAGCAACACCTGGGATCTAGTTAGATCTGCAGAGTCTCACCCACCACCACCTGCTGAATTAATCTGCAGTTGAACAATCCCAGGTGATTCTCATGCCCAGTGAAGTTTGAGAAGCACTGTTTTGAAAGACCCTGGTGGCCTGCCCCAATCACATTCCTAAACTCTTCCCTGTCAGTCTCTGACAGCTGTCACTCCTGTTGCAAATAGTTAGAGCCCTGATATCAGATAATAAATTTCTGAGATGTTAATGCATTCACCCAAAATGCTGGGATCAGAAGAAGACAAAAGAACAGATGCTTCTCTGTGGAATTAAATATTAAAACACGAGAGAAGAAAAATTAATTTGGGGTAGCTAGTGTTCCCAGGACAAATTAATATATGCTCCCTCCTCGCAGGCAGCCCTGGGCAGAGAAAGACTAAAGAACAAAGGCCAAAAAGGCAATGAATGCGGTGAAAACTGTAAGTCTAGAAGGAAGTGAGACAAGGAAGACATGGGCATGGCCAGATTCAGTGGTGAGGATGAAATGAGAGAATAAGAGCTGATACTCATTGAGAACTTTCTCTGTGGTTAGGCACACAGCTCAGCATTTCTCATACATGATCTCAGTTAATCTTCATATCACCGTGACCACTTCAGGGACATATATAGGAGATCACACAGGTTAGATGCCCTGCCTAAGGTCACAGAGGTAATATGTAATGACCTCTGCAAGCCTCGCTTTTAACCACTCCAGTACATTGCTGAAAATGCCTGCGCAGGGTAATAAAGACCAGAGCCCAGTGCAGTTCCTGATGTTCCAACAGTAGTTTTACTGCTGAACTGGGATTCGCATGCTTCACGAAGAAGAGAGGAGTCGGGCCAGATCTTCGTGGATGGTGTGGACTAGGACAGGCAGAAGAGAGCAGGTGAAGCAGGTCACGCGGGGGAACCGTGTGAACAAAGGTGACAAGTGGGCAGGGCGGAGTGTAATGGGAGAGAACGCTGAGAAAATTACACCAGGCCTGGAAAACTCCAGAGCAGGGGCTGGACGCAGGGCAAGGGCCACCGGGACTGCTAGCGGATTTTAGGCAAAGGAGAAATCAGACAAAAGCATTGACTTAGATGAAGGTCTCCAGAAAATACAAAATGTTTACTTTTCTTAGCTCAAATTTTCAGAACTGACTTGAAACATGATAAGCATATTCTTGCTAGGGGTGAAATATCCAACAGGAGCCTATGATAACCCTTGGAAATAGGATGCAAAGGAATGAGTACCTGTTTTCGTCAAAGGGGTTACTGATGGAGCCATTGAGTATGACATAGACCACACCACAGGCAGCATCTGCAAACTTAAAAAACAAACGGCCACCATTCTTTAGCATGAAAATATAATCCCCATGCCCCAGCAGTTCCATTCAAAACAGGGCTTAGCAATAGTTAGTCAAGGAGGGAATATCCTATATGGTTCTCGGACAGGAATGTCAGATTATATAATTTTCATTCCAAGCCATTGGAGGGATTATGCTTCATGTCACTTTTCTTGAAGCATTTGATCCAATCTGTAAGTGTTCGAACAGCGAAGTTTAGTGTCATTGTTCACAGGGCTACTAAATTCAGTGGTTTAGAAGTCAGAAGTCCCCTTCATTTAATAGGAACAGGGTGGACGATTCAGGGGTAAAGGAAATGGAAACATCACAAACAAGGAAACTGAGGAGAAAAAAAAGGTGAGCTTGAGTCATGGAAAGGTACAAAGAGAAAAGGGAGATTGAAGGAATGAACAAAGAAAGGAGTATGCTTGAGCAAGGAGTTTTATTTCTTCATGCAACAAACTTTCAGCAGGAATCTTTGCTAGCACAGGAGAAAACAAAATGGACAAAATAAAGCGATCTACATGCTCCCTGCAAGCCCTGGGACTAGCTCAGGTCCCCTTCTCCGAACCCGGACAGTATCCCATTCACATTATCAAACTGGATTGCGTTGTAACGATGAGCTGGTTGTCTGTTTAGCCTTCGGCACTAAGAGCTCCGGGAGAGCCGCGAGCCTGGCCTTCCTGGATGCTCGTACTGGTACGTGGCACGGAACAGGTGCCCAGTAAACATCTGTGGAAGGAAAAGGAGAGAGGGAGGAGGGAAAGCGGAAGCAAAGAGTCCAATACTCTGTGGCAGAGATTGGGAAAGCACAGGACAAGTGTCATGGAAGGCACGAGAGCCAAGCCCTAAAGGACGGACAGGATTTCACCAGGTAAAGCTGAGGCAGCTGTGACAGGAAAAGCCTAGGGTGTAAGAGAACAGTGGTGTGCTTGTGCGCAAACTTCAGCGGATGGGGACGTTGGCTAGATAAGGCAGTTCACGGAGGGCTGTGAATCTGGACTGGATTCTGCAGGTGACAGGAACACCACTACAGATTTGGCACTGAATCCAGTGCTGCTTCTGTCTTTCCTCTGAGGGTGGTGAGCAGAGGGGCAGAGCCCAGTTGTTATTATTAATCACAGTGCTAACTCAAGTCTGCTTCAAGGGTGCCAAGTATAGTCCCAGCGAGATATAATTCTCCAGAGCCTCCACGAGGTAAGTACTGGGTCAGTTTGCCTTAAGGTCACATGAGTTGGAAGCATTGAATGGAGGTGGAGATTCACACCATCAAGAAACACTGCCGGGCTGGGTATGGTGACTCACGCCTGTAATCCTAGCACCCTGGGAGGCTGAGGCGGGCGGATTGCTCGAGGTCAGGAGTTCGAAACCAGCCTGAGCAAGAGCGAGACCCCATCTCTACTATAAATAGAAAGAAATTAATTGGCCAACTAATATATATAGAAAAAATTAGCTAGTCCCAGCTACTTGGGAGGCTGAGGCAGAAGGATTGCTTGAGCCCAGGAGATTGAGGTTGCTATGAGGTAGGCTGACACCACAGCACTCACTCTAGCCTGGGCAACAAAGCAAGACTCTGTCTCAAAAAAAAAAAAAAAAAAGGAACACTGCCTTTATTGTCAGAAAAAGAAAGAGATCGGTCTGACAAAAGAAGGGCATCTGCATACATTGTTGAGTGACTGGCAAACAGAGGCACAGGTAGCTCACAAGGACAGGACACCTTCCATCACCTGTGCCTCCTAGTGTCAAGGGCTGAGTGAACATAAGTAGGTGCTTGATACATACAAAATGTGACTTGGCTTTAAAAGTTTTTAGCAACAGCACTGCCCTAAACATTTCATAGAGTAATGAAATAAATATTAAGACTGTTGCAGGAGTATAAGATCGACCAACACTCGGCCCAGAGGATTAAACCAAAGCCAAAGCATGGGTAAGAGCAGAGATTCTTCATCTGGAGCCCACACACCCATTGTGAACGCTCTAAAATTGTATGTGAAAATCTTCTGAGATGTCTTCTGAACCTTTTTTTCAGGAAAGTATCCTATCCTACACTTTCATTCCTAAAAGAGTTTATGATCCAAAAAGTGTTAAAGCCCACCACTGACTGGATGAGTTCTTAGGTTCTTTGGTCTCCAAAGTTCTAGAATTTCACTACTTGCTACTTACCCTCCGGGAAGCCATTTTCCAGAATACCGAAACAGGATTATTAGGGCAGTCTTTCTTCCAGTGTGGACAAGATCGGTAGTTCATTTCTAAAATACATGGTTTATAGAAAATTATTACAGTGGCAAAGAGAGAGCATAAATAACCTCCATTCTTCCCTGGCTGTTCAATCACAGGGGAGCCATTTTCTAGCGGCATCACTGCCAAGATGGAGGGTGGAGAACGGACACATTTAGACCCAATTTAACTAAATGTCCCCTGAATCCCATCCAAGTCCTTACCTTACCTTCCAAACCCCAGACAGGAACACAGTGACAAGTTTTAAGTCATCATTCTGGGAAGCAGCAGCAAAAGTTCAACCAACAGAGACAAGCCCTCAACATTATCATCAAATCCAGGAAGAATCAGAGGTAAAACCAGGCCCTCAGAGGTCAGTCTTGCCAACCACTTCTCTGCTTCCTGACAACTCTCTCTGGTTAAGTGTTTCCTCCCCCCACCTCCGTAAGCCCCCATACTTTTAGGCTCAGACGGGCTCAGAGTCTTCCTACACTCACCGCTATCAAAACAGTCTTGGTCCTCAGTGAAGTACAATAGACATAGAGCATCAATGCACAGTTTCTGTGTCATTTCTCCCAAGGATATCTGCCTTAATTCGTAAATATTTATTAGGTCTTGGGGATAGAGAGATAAATTAGATGAGAGTCCTGTCTTTAGAGATGGAATGCAATCTACCAAAGAAAAATCAACTTGGATTGGGGGATTGTGCAGCGTCATCAGGGAAAGTTGACAGTGAACTTGGTCTTGAAGGATGAATAGGAATCTTCAGACAAAGGAGACAGAGGAGGGTGCTCCACGCAGACAGAATATGTGCAAAGGCACAGAGCTGTGGGCCAGCCTAATAGGTTTAGATTAGTACTTCCAGAACTTAAGGGGTGAGGAAGGGAATGATGAAAGATGAGGTATATGAAAGACAAGAGGCCAGGTCATACCAAGGAATTTAGACTTTACCCTAGTGGTAAAAGAGAGCTACTTAAGTTTTAGGGATCATCATATTTTTGCTTTAGGAAGAACACTGTGATTGCAAGATGACCCAAAGGGGTAAGAAGTGAGCAATAAGAATTCTTCAAAAGTCCCAGCAAGAAAAGAGAGTATGTTAGCAAGCTGGACTCAAGCAGTGGTAACAGGATAGAAAGAAATGATGACTTACCAGGCGAATAGATTAGGTTGGCAATTTATTGGCTATAAGGAGGGTAAAAAGAGGGGCGATCACCACAAAAAAATGGTAACTATGTAAAGAGATAGATACGCTAATTCACTTGACTGTAATAGCCAGTTCACTATGTATATCAAAACATCACACCACACATCTTAAAGACGTAGGATTTCAATTAAGAAACTTTCAAAAACATGACCCAAGGTTGTGTCTAAGAACTATATGATGTAAAATGAAATAGTTAATAAAGGGTTAGGGGCCCAGTCCCTGCATGAAGGAAAAAAAAGAATGGGGGGTGGGAGGGAGGGAGGAGGCAGAATCTGGAAATATCCTACGTCAACTTTGCGTTATCAAGCAGGTAGAGAAGGTGTATGGAGAGAGGCTCTAGAACCTTCTCTTGTGTCCCAGAAGTCTGAGAGCGTGGCAACTGCCTGTTTCCTCTCTGTGTATGTGTAGAGCTTACCCTAAGAAAACACCACTATTTTACTTCCACCTTCTTATGGGTTCTATCCTCCCAAAAGACGTGTTGCATCCTAATCCCTGGTACCTGTGAATGGGACCTTATTTGGAAAGAGGGTCTTTGTAGATGTAATCAAATTAAGATGCAATCAATAGGGTGGGTCTCCAATATAACTACTGTTCTTACAAGAAGGGGAAATTTGGACACAGAGACAGACATGCACAGAGGTAAGATGACATGAAGACACACAGGGAGAAGATGACCATGTGATAACAGTGGCAAAGGTTGGAGTAATGCATCTACAAGCCCAGGAACACCAGTGATAATTGGCAACAACCCAAAAAGCTGGAAGAGACTAGGAAAGATTTTCCCCTAGAGAGTTCAGAGAAAGCATGGCCCAGCAGACACTTTGACTTTGGACTTTTTTTTAGATTTATTGCACCATGTGGTGAATATAGTTAATAATAGTGTGCTATGCTAAAATTTCTAAGAGTAAATTTCAAATGTTCTCACTATAAAAAATAAGTATTTGAGGTGATGGATATGTAAATAAGCTTGATTTAATTATCCCACATTATATCTATAAATCATAACATCACTTTGTACCTCATAAATATATACAATTAAAAATTGTCTATTTACAATAAAAAAGATATAAATAAATATAAATCAGACTATAGAGACTATAAAACAGGGAGAAAGGTGAAAATTAACAAAAATTGAGGACAAAGAAGAAGAAAGCAGATAAATAAAATTACATATACAGGATTCAATTTTTAAAAAAGCAAAAATAAAGAACTCCGAAATGTAAATCAATTTTTAAAAATAGATTATTTCATTTTCTCTATCTCCACTTCATTCCAAGAAAAAACTGAAGTGGTGAGTTGAAAAATAAAACCAAAGGAGAAGAGTTTATTGGAAATAAATTTAAAAGCTAAAAATGTTAAATGAATGACCAAGAAAAAAGTTAAATTGCTAAAATGGAAATTTAAAAAGAAAAACAGGGAACATAGCAAAAACTATAAAACTTAACCAAAAAATAAAAATAGCGAGAGAAACATTTATATATCTTATTCTGGGAGGGAAGACTCAGAATACATATAAATTTAAATATTATAAAAGTAAAATTAGTGTATAAAAATATAGAAGAATGCTTCCCTAATCTCAAGGTAAGGAAAATCTTTCTAAGCAAAGATACCATACCCAGGAGCCATAACAAAGGGACTGACAGGTCTTCTGCATTTCTGTGTGGCAAAACACAGACTATAAACAGTATAAAAAGGAAAGTCCAAACTAAAAAAAAATAGAGGTGCCACCTTCAGCCAGAAAACAGACAGAACAACATAGCAGTTAAGAGCACAGTTTCTCAAGTCAGTCTTTCTGGGTTTGCTCTCAGCTCTGCCACTTACCGAGTGACAAGTTACTTAACTCTGTGCCTCAGACTTCTCATCTGTAAAATGGGACCACCATCAGGCCTCATGGGGCTGTGTAAAATGGCATGAGTGAATACTCATGAAGCATGTAGATCATAGGCACTCTAAATGCCCAATACTATTAATTTATAAAGAACTTCTATTAATAAGAAAATAATAGATAACCCAATAAAGATGGTTAAACTATATGAACTAACAGTTTATAGAAGAAATAGAAAATCTGCCATTAATATATATATATATATATATATATGCTCAAACTCACCATCAAAGAAATTAAAAATAAATTGAAGTATTTTTTTCTTTATCACATGGGTCCAAAAATTTTGTTAGTATTAATATCTAGTGTTGGTGAGGATATAGGTAGATAGACAACCTCATATATGCTCTTGATGAGGGTACGAAATTGTTACCACCAATTTTGTTGTTGTTGTTGAGACAGAGTCTCACTTTGTTGCCCAGGCTAGAGTGAGTGCCTTGGCGTCAGCCTAGCTCACAGCAACCTCAAACTCCTGGGCTCAAGCAATCCTACTGCCTCAGCCTCCCGAGTAACTGAGACTACAGGCATGTGCCACCATGCCTGGCTAATTTTTTTCTATATATATTGGTTGGCCAATTAATTTCTTTCTATTTATAGTAGAGACGGGGGGGGGGTCTCACTCTCACTCAGGCTGGTTTCGAACTCCTGACCTTGAGCAATCCGCCCGCCTCGGCCTCCCAGAGTGCTAGGATTATAGGCGTGAGCCACCGTACAAGGTCTGTTACCACCTTTTAAATGACATTTTCAGTTTACATCACAATTTATCTTTTAACATTGAAATTCCATTTATAGACAATTACCTTTCTGTAATTCTTCAAACATGCAGATGTGTGTGTGTGCGTGCGTGTGTGTATGAAGTGTCTCTTGCAACAGTGGTTATGATAGCAACAAAAACTGAAAACAACCTAAATGTCCATTAATAGCACTGATTAATGATAAATCCTTTTAAAAGAATATGGGTATCTTTATACCTATTAACTTTAAGTGAATAAAGCAAGTTGCAGAACTGTATGCATACATTTTTTAAATATAAGCTTATATAGACATAATGAAAAAAGGTCTGGAAGGACATGTCCCAAATTGTTGACAACAGTTACCCTTTGAGAAGTGCTGCAGAGGTTGTGGGTGGAAGGATGCAGGGTCACCTTCACTTTTTACTTTTATGCATTTCTATGATATGCAAGTATTTTTTCAAATAAGCATGCTTCATTTTTGTAACTGAAATAATGCAAACCTGGGATAAAGAAGCTATGATAAGACAAGCTTTTTCAAACAAATAGTCAAAAGCAATAAAAATAAGGATACAACAATATAAAGGAAAACTATCCAGCACATAAATAAAAAGGGAAAGAAAAAAAAAAGAAGTAAAATCTGGCTCAATAGGGTTTTCTGAGTAGAAAACACCTTCCCCCAGTGAGGTGTTCTCAGTCTTTCTGAGCAGGAAGAGGCTACATCTGGAAAAGGATGGCAAAGCCCAGCCCAGGCTACTGTGGTGGTTCTGTGGGACAAGACTTTGGCCTAAGTCCTTCTGAGACCTCATCCTGCCCTAGAACTCTCTAGTCCTGAATGATGCCTTTACGGAAATCAAAACACCAAGAATTCAGAAGCAGGCTACAAGAGCACCAAGGACTCGGGGAGCACAGGCAATCCCAAACTCTGAAGTCAATTTTTCAGGAAAACAGGAATTGGCATAGGGAATGCTGTAATCTTTTACATCAGCCTGATTTGTCATGAAGGGTATAGATGACCTCAGGGTGGGTGTCTGTGGCTCCTTCCTCCACACTAGCCTCTCAGAGCCCCTGGCAGCGCCCGCCCGTTCACCCTGCACGTCCCTGGGCAAGCCCTGGGGGCCCAGGCCCTCACCAGAAGTGCCGGCGTCTCCACACCACGTGAGGCCGTCAGCCAGGTAGCCCAGCAGTGTGTCCTCCAGGGTGAACATCTCCCGGTCCCCCCGCGTGTATTCGTGTGCCGTCTCTTTCGCTTTGCTCCAAAGGACAGTCTGGGGGAAAAATAAACACAACCTATCATTGAGATCAATTTAGTGGGTCAAAAAAAGAAATCCACATTTTTGTAAATGAAAGACACAGAATCGCTCTCTGTGTGTGAGAGAATCCGGGCGAGGGAGAAAGAGATTGAAGAGAAGGGGGAAGGGCAGGGGACAGGAAAGAGAGAGGACAGAGAGAAAGAGAGAGCATGTGTTCTGGGTCACAATGTAAAAGGAATTTATTATTCTGGGTTGCAGTCAGAAAAGGCTGAAAAGCCACTGATCAAAACCTTGTAACTAACACAGGATCTGTCTGCATCCAGAGGACGCATCAGGGAGTTCCAATTTTCCTAAAGTTACCTGCAAAAAATTTCTGTCTATCTCCTATTTTCTGGAAGAAATGCTTTTTGATTCTTAAAGAGCTACATAACCTTTTCCACTTCCCCCAAATCTTCCCTACCTCCACCAAAAAAAACCCCCACATAGATAGTATGTTTTTAGGATCCCTCTTAAAGGTCAGATTTCAGAATAATATTGTTCCATGAATCTATTCATTCTTAAAGGGAGACAGTGGAGGGCCGTGGGTCAAAGCAGGGGCCCTGGAGTCTCTCTTCTTACTGGGCCCATCATCACCACTACTAACTGTTTGATCCTCTTGACCTTGGACAGCCAAAGCATCACCAAGCCTCACACGTGTAAAATGGCAATGATAATGAGTATAACAAACTCATGGGATGCTGGGGAGATTAAATAAGACAACACAAGTAAATTTCTTAGCACAGTGTCTGTCGCACAGTCACTTATTCGACAAATGTCAGCCTGGGTTATTATTTGCCAAGCATCTCCTCCACCTAGGGGATAGTCCCTGGTACACCAAAGAGAAGAGGTACCATAACACCAGCTCACTACCAATGGGATGAGAGGCTGTGATTTGTGGGTAGATTTAAGGGCTTCACAAAGACAATGTTGTGGCTTAAAACACTGAATTTTTGCCTTAAACACTGACTTTAGAAAAGATACACTCCATGATAGACCTTTTCCAATATAATCAATATATGAAAACCCAGGCCTCTCTGGCTCCAAGTCTTGCGCCATTTACATTTCAACTGTCACTTTCAACCTGTCAAACTTGGGCAATCACAGGTCACCTAAACTCACCAAGCTTCGGTTATCTCACTGGTAAAACGGGGACACTGGCACCCAACCTGCCCATTCCACAAAATGTCTGTGAAACACTAGGAGGAAAAGGATTAGGAGTCCTTTGTAAGCAGAAAAGCACTATGCACATGTCAATTGACATTATTTACTATTATATTATTATTATTATTATTATTATTATCAGAGGTCAAGGGAAAGTTTTGGAATTGTATAAGGTTTGGTTATTTTTGTTTGTTTGAGTTGAGTTTGGTGTTAGGTTTCTTTTGCCTGATTTTTGGCCAATTCTCCTTTCCTCTTTCCATGTCCCCATTTCTCTCTTACCTCTCTTCCCCAAATGTCCTAAATCCTGATGATATCATGGTCCCCCCCATGGCCCCACACCAAAGTCTGGATTTTTCCTCTTCTATTCAAATGTGGTCCTGTGAGATCTTCCCTCTAGCTTTTATTCCCAGTTTTAAAACTACTAACTTGCCCAAATTACCTTGCCGCAAGGTATAGTCTGAGTTGTCAACTTCACCAGTGGCTGATAGTCTTCTTCTGTAATGTTACAAGGATTCTTTGAAATAGACGAGCTTTTGAATGCTTCCTGTATCTTTTGGCAGTCTACATTTCTGTGAGATGAAACATGAAAAATAAAATAAAACACGAATAATTTGATCTTTAAAATATTTGGGGGACATAAATTTCATTTAGGAAGCATCTACTGAGTGCCAGGTAGTCCATACATATCATCCCATCTAAGCTGGACAACATTTTCATGAGACGGCCACTACCCTGCCTGTTTCCCGGATGAAATAGAAGCTTGGTGGGTTTGAAATGACCTTTCCTAGTTCACTCAGATGGCAAAGTAGTAGCTCCAAGATTCAGATCTGTGTCCTTCTGATGCCAGGGCAAAACAGTCTGGTCATTAATGATGACTTGCCTAAGTGTGAAACAAAACTGAGAAGAACATACAAAGGCAACTAGTTTTCTCTATCTTATATTACACACTGTAAAAAAAAAAATTAAGGATTCCAACTGCCTTCAGAAAGTCCAAATTCCTTATTGGACTCTTCTTGAATTTTCCCACCTCTTAGCAGCCACGGCCCGGGATGCTTTCTTCCCCATGTCTGCCGATTGAAATCTTATCCACACTTTGCATCCACACCCTGGAGCCAGTAGAGCCAGGGGAAGTAAGTCTGCCCTTCCCCGCGATTGGGAGGTCTCCTGACCCAATGTGTGTATGAGCTTCTCCAGCAATGAGTGATAAATGATAGTGAGGCTACCTCACTCTATTAAGAACAGAATCTATTAAGAACAGATTTAGGGCTTCTTAAGTTGTAACCCAACTAAAAAGCTTCCACAGGGAAACCTCTCTTCCTCTAAGGAAGAGCAAATCTGCTCCCTTACATTTGCCCAAATGCATCCTGCCTCAAAGGAAAGTTAGCTGGAAACAGGGCTATTTGCCTAATATGCAGAGCACTGAGGCCAGAAACTGTATCTGGTTCATCCACCCATCCCTCTAATACTAGATTCAAAATAATGTTTATAGACTGAGTGGAAGATTGAAAGTGAGCTATATAAGATTCAAAATGTAAGTATGATTAAAGAAGAAAGATACCACTTCTAGAATAAAGAAGTAAGGAACGCCAAAATTCTGCTTCTCCATAAAAGCAATGGGAACACTGGCAAGAATTATCAATACCAACTTTAGAGAACCCTGGAAATTAACTAAAGCTTAAAACAATCCAAAAAGTGTTATTCCAAAAAAATGGTTAAACCTTGGTTAGAACAGTCACCCTTGTGGCATTTTAACTTGCCTTAATTCCATCTCCCTCTCCCTGCTCTATGGAAGCCTTAAAATCCAACAGCTCCACAATGATGATAGATGTGAAAAACCATCAGCCTTCCAGCCACCAGACAGTGTGGAGTGGGTTTGGATCTTTCCAAATATGCCCCTATCCCCCAGAGAACTGTGTATTTGACTTGTCTGGAAGCTTACTGAAAAGCTCACCGCTCAGGACTTGTCTTTATTTGACATGACTCAGAGTTCACTTTATGTGAACAACCCTACCCACAAAGCATTTGTGAAAACAATCAGTGACAATTATATAACACTGCAGGTGTATGAGGTTGTTTTTCTTTTTTTTAACCTGTTGGAGCTAACAAGGGACAAAAAACTTAAAAAGAAAAACTGGAGAATCAAATATCTATAGAAAATGAAAGGAAAGTACAAGAATGATGTCTTACCAAATAAGAACATCAATTATTAGATAGAAGTTGTTTTTCTAAAAAATTAAAGAGAAATTCTGGAGTTAAGTAAAACAGCTGAAATGAAAATTTCACTGGAGGGGCTCAATAACAAATTTGAACTGCGAAAGAAAGAATTACTGAACTTGGGATCAAGTATACGGACATATGCATAATGGGAGGAGAGGAAAGAGGCAGAAAAAAAATTTTTTAGAGAAATAATGCCCCAAAACTTCTCAAATTTGATGAATATTAACCTACCATTTCAAGAAACTCAACAAACTCCAAGTAGGATAAAATGAAAGACCCACACCTAAATATACTGTAGTCAAATTATTAAAAGACAAACAGAGAATCTTGAAAGCAGCAAAAGAGAAGTGACTCATTAACTGGATGAGAAAAGTCAATAAGGAAAGGGAAGACTTGAACCACACTATAATCCATTTAGACCTAATAGACATTTAGAGCACTTGACCCAGCAACAGCAGAATAACAACACATTGTTCCCAAATGCACATGGAGCATTCCTACAATAGACCATACATAGGCCATAAAAAAAGTCTTAATAAATTCAAAGAGTTTGAAATTTAATAAAAGAAATAAAATAGGCAAATTATTATTCATAATAAAAAAGATTAAAATCATGTGTAGTATCTTTTCTGATCACAATGGAATGAAACTACAAATCAATAACAGAGGGGAAAACTAAAAATTCTCCAGTAATTGAAGATTAACACTGCACTCTTAAATAAACAATGGATTCAAGAAGAAATCACAAGGGAAATTAAAGCAAATACAATCAAACACACATGTATCAAAACTTCTGGGATATAGTAAAAACAGTGCTAAGAGAGAAATTTGTAGATATATTGAAAGAAAAAAATCTCAAGTCAATATCCTAACTCTACACCTTGAGGAATTAGAAAAACAAGAGCAAAGTTAACCCAAGGCAAGCAGAAGAAAGGAAATAATAAAGACTATGGTAGAAATAAATAAAATACAGAATAGAAAAATAATAGAGAAAATCAATACCACCCAAAGTTTGTTCTTTGAAAAGATCAACAAAATCTAAATCTAAAGATTGACACATCTTTAGCTAGACTGACAAGAAGAAAAGAAGACTTAAAGTAATAAAATCAAGAATTAAATAAGGAACATCACTGCTTTCCTTACAGGGAAAAAAATTTCTAGGGGATACTATGAACAATTATACATAAACAGATTCTATAACCTAGATAAAAATGGACAGATTCCTAGAAAGACATAAACTACTAAAACTGATTCAGGACCAAATAGAAAATCTAAATAGACCTATAACAAGAAAAGCAAGTAAAATAATAATTAAAATATTGCCATAAAAGAAAATTCAGGCCTAGCTGGCTTCACTGGTGAATTCTACTAAACATTTAAAGAATCATTAACACCAATCCTTCATAAATTCTTCCAAAATATAGAATAGGAGTGAACACATTCCAACCCATTCCATGAGTTCAGTGTTACCCTGATACCAAAGCCAGATAAAGACATCATAAGAAAGAAAACTAAAGACCAATATCCCTTATGAATATAGACACAAAAATCCTCATAAAAATACTAGCAAGCAGAATTCAGCAACAAATAATTAGCTTGATTTAATTATTCCACATTGTATTCATAGCATCACTCTGTACCCCATAAATATATACAACTATAATTTGTCAATTTATAATTAACAAATAAAAAAATTTTAAAACATTTAATTACAAATAAAAGCAATTATATACCGTGATCAAGTGAGATTTATTCCAGGAATGCAAGGTTAGTTTAACATATGCTAATCAATCAATGTAATGCACTATATTAATAGAATAAAGGACAAAACAAACCATACAATCATTTCAATAGACACAGAAAAATCATACAACAAAATCCAATATTCTTTCATAATAATAATAATAATAAACACTGAGCAAATTATGAAAAGAAGGGAATTTCCTAAACCTGATAAACGTCATTGATTAAAAACTTGCAGCTAACATCATACTTAATGGTGAATGACTAAGATCAAGTACCATACAAGGATGTCTGCTTTCACCACTTCTTTTTCTTTTTTTTTTGAGACAAAGTCTCACTCTGTTGCCCTGGCTACAGTACCATGGTGTCAGCCTAGCTCACAGCAACCTCAAACTCCTGGGCTCAGGTGATCCTCCTGCCTCAGCCTCCTGAGTAGCTGGGACTACAGGCATGTGCCACCATGCCCGGCTAATTTTTTTTCTATATATTTTTAGTTGTCCAATTAATTTCTTTCTATTTTTAGTAGAGACAAGATCTTGCTCTTGCTCAGGCTAGTTTCAAACTCCTGACCTTGAGCACTCCTCCTGCCTTGGCCTCCCAGAGAGCTAGGATTACAGGTGTGAGCCACCGCGCCCAGCCACATCACTTCTATTCTACATTGTACTACAGATCTAGCCAGGGAAATTAGGCAAGAAAGAGAAATAAAAGGCATCCAGATTAGAAAAGAAAAAGCAAACTTGGCCCTTTCACAGATGACATGATAGTATATAGAGAAAATTCTAAGAAATTCACAAAAAGGAAACTATTAGAACTAATAAACATGGTCAGCAAGGTTTCAGGATACAAGATAAACATACAAAAAACAACTGTATTTCTATATATTAGTGATGAAAAATATGAAATTGAAATTTTTTTAAATATCCCTTATAATTGCATCAAAACAATTAGTATACTTGGGAATAAATACAACCAAAGAATTTCAAGGTTAGTCTACTGAAAACTACAAAACATTGTTAAAAATGAAAGAAGATCTGAATAAATGAAAAGCATTCTATATTCATGGGTCAGAAGGCCTAATATTGTTAAGATGTCAGTATTTCCCAAACTGATTTACAGCTTCAATGCAATCTCTACAGAAACCCCAACTCCTTCTTTTGCAGAAATTGACAGTTTATCTTAAAATTACTATGGAAATGCAAAGTGACATAGAAGAGCCAAAAAAAATCTTGAAAAAGAACAAAGTTGAAAGATGTACACTTTCTGATTTCAAAACTTACTACAATGCTACAGTAATTAAGACAACTTGGTACTGGCATAATGATAGAAATATAGACCAATGGAATAGAATTAAGAGTCCAAAAATAAAGTCTTACATTTATCATCTATTGATTTTAGAGAAGAGTGCCAAGACCATTCAATGAATAAAACGTTCGTTGGTCCTTTCAACAAAAGGTGCAAGAAAAGATGGATATCCACATGCAAAAACATGTTTTTGGACCCATCCTTCACACCATGGACAAAAGTCAACTCAAAATGAATAAAAGACTTAAATGTAAGAGGTAAAATTATAAAACTCTTAGGTTCAAACATAAAAGAAAAAAATCATAAT